TGTGGTGTGTGTGGGTGTGTTGGGTGTGGTTTGTGTGTGTGTGTGTGTGAATTCTTTCTGTCCTCTATAGAACTCCCCCAGACACACAGACAACAGTGACGGGAAGATAGGCGAGTCACAATAGCTGGACCTTGGTAGCCATCGCCCAACGAGTGTGAGCGTGGGTGCAGACCCTCAGTGCTAGCATTTTAACTCCTCCTGCTTCCAGCTGACACAAATTTGTCAAATGCTCTCCCATCTGCTCTTCAGTCTCCACAGAGGTGTCGGGGTGGCATAGTGGACACCTCAGGAGGTGGTTGGGGGTATTCATGCAGCTTGCCTATTCACCAGGGCAAACAAATAGGCCGAGGCTGGGGGCTGGGTGTGCCCACCAACTCAGGTGACAGAACCTCTGTGGCCTGGAGTCACTCCAGCTGCCGCAGACGTGGGAGGCAGGGCGGACACCAACTTGCCATCCCCCTAGATCAGTTTCCCCTCGGCTTGACAGATGGTTTATACCTAGGGTTCTAACTCAGGCTTCCACACGCCAGAGGGGATTCCAGACCCGGCACACAGAACCTGGTAATAACAGTAAGGCCAGTCTGGGGCTCGTACTCAGTGGCAGCTACACAGAACCACCAGTGACAGCCATGGGTGGGGGCTTTGTGCCTCCGGGTTAGCTGGATGGAGGAGTTCACGTTGCTGAAACAACAAGACCAGGATGCAGTGGGAGCGTGCATGGGGGCCTCCTGATGCAAGCGATACGGCAGGGACCCCCCCACCCCCGTATGGTTAGAAGTCAGGGGGCACATGGCCAGGGCAGGGTCTGCACCTTCATAGGTTTGTGTTGGACATTTGATGTCACTTAAAATTTACAGTCTGCATGCTGACTACTTCTGAAATCAGTAGAAGCAAATAAGACTTAAAAACACAGTAATAGTTTGAGAGAGAGAGAGAGAGAGAGAGAGAGAGAGAGAGAGAGAGGGAAGGATAGAGGGAGGGAGGGAGGGGGCCCGGGTTATCGAAAGCAAATGGCTCATAGCCTTTATCTGGACACAGAGAACATGCTGCTGTGAATGGCAAAGCAGCTGGTGGAGTGACAGCTAAACTGTGTGTGGCATCTCTGTGTCAGATACCAATTGGCTTCCTGCGAGTTCATATGTGTAAACGGCACAAAGAAAATAAAATACCAAAATCTCTCAGAGAATCCGAAACTCTCCTAGTTGCTGATGAGGCAACCAAGGCCCAAAGCACTCAAAAGTCCCAGACCCACGGAAACAGAGCAGTAAAGACACACATACAGATGACTTCCAGAGACCAAGCCCACAGGTACGCGTTGCATTGCCTAGGGAAGACCAGGGAAGGGCAGGACCATGCCCAGGCAACTCTGCCGGCTGTGTGGAAAACAGATGGCAGAGACTGCCAAGGAGACCATCATTTAGAGCCTCCAAGATCACAGAAAAAATAAAGATGGGAGGAGCTGAAAGCAAACCTCCAGAGAGACAGGATGCGATGGAGAGGACATGGATCCATCCACAGAGGGGAGAATGGCGCACTCAGAGAGGACATGGATCCGTCCACAGAGGGGAGAATGGCGCACTCAGAGAGGACATGTATCCATCCATCCACAGAGGGGAGAATGGCGCACTCAGAGAGGACATGTACTGTCCACAGAGGGGAGAATGGTGAACTCCGAGCGCACAGACTGTCAAGGAGGGAGCCACAGACATGAAGGGTAGCAGCTACCGTCTGTGTCCTTTGGGGATCACAGCAGGAAGGAGAGTGACAACAAATCAGGTCCCCATGTAGCAGGAGCGATAGTTCATGAATGCAGTGGTTTTCTGAAGGGCCTGTAAGGTTTCCTCGGACCTTTTAAAAACTGGTCTTTTCAAGCACTCCTTTGGACATGGCATACGAAGTTCTTATCACAAGACATATAACCAGACACTAATCTACGAAATAAATAATCCAATAGCATCTATTTACTGTAAATTATTTTGGAGAGTACCAAGAAACACTGCATCAAAATGGTGGGACCTTAAGAGCAAAATATTCCCAGTTTAGCAATCAATTTCACTTACCTTTGAAGATTTCCCTTGCGACTTTCTTCTTCTTCCTGTAAAAAAAACCAAAACAAATGTTTGTCGGAATCAGTCGATTTTGACTTCCGAGGAATCCTGCCTTCACTGAAGTGACTTGTTTTGTTCTGGCCCCTTCAGATGTGGTTTAAAATCATCACTGAGGCTAAGCTGTAGGCATATGCCTGGAGCCCTTTGAAGTCTAACAGTAAAAGCAGCGTATTTAGCATCATGGTATGGTGGGAGCTTTTGTAGTCTCCCCAGGGAGGGAGAGGCCTGCCTGAGTGAGCAAGCCTGACTATAAAGCTTGTTGAGTAAATGGCTCTCCTGCATTCCCATAGAGGACTTCCCTGCTGTATGGAGTTCACAGAACTGGCAATCTGGAGTAAGTGCCAGTGTGCGTATGTTGGTGCAGAAGTGGAGGGTAGCAGAGTTGAGCAGAGACTTGGGAGACCGATGTCCTCTGGTCCAAATCTTGCTTTGGAGGTTGGTACGGGTGGCATCTTTGGGCAGGGACTCCTGCTTGCTTTTGAACATCTCTAATTAGGACTAGAGGTAGACAAACAGGAACTTCCCCTTAAGAACAGCAAGAGCTGTGCTGGCAAACAATAACACAAAGGCAAAGGTTGTCTGTCTATTGAAAAAAGACTTGCATGCTGACGTGGTTTGGAAGAAACTCTTGACAGTAATGAACCGTGTCCCCTGGGACAGTCATACTGAAATGTGCCCTTCCTCAGACAGCAAGCCTTTGTTTCCGCCTACACAGAGGAGTAGGGTTCTCACTTGGTTCTTTCGCTCTCTCTGCTACAAAGGAGAACCACGGAGATTGCCTGCCCACCAAATGGTGGTGCCGACCTACCAATGGACGTTCTGCCGACCTGATACCCACACTGCTGAGGGTAAGGCATTTGACTCCACTGAGATGACTGATGTATGTGGTGGAGCATCGCTTAAATACAAAAACTTGTAACCTAAATACTTCAAAATCTGAGAAATTGTTGACATTTGTGTCACACACAAAATACACATAAAGATAAAATCGCCTTTAGGCTACAGGGACAAAGTGTATATGAAACTTAAATGATTCCTGCTTTTGAATGGCGTCCTATCCCGAGGATACGTAAATGTCCCAACCTCAGGAAAAATTGGAAATCTGAAACCCTATGGTTTCAGCATTTTGAACCAGGGACCATTGGCTCACGTAATGTCCCCATACTTCAACACTATCTGAGGCAAGTCTACTGACTGGACTTGTTCTTGAGAGTTTTCATGTTACAAGGGACCCTAGCCCAGCGTTTCTAAACCCAGAACAAGATGGCGAAGTTAGCCTGACCACAGCAGGGGCAGGGGCAGGCCCACCATTGGTAAGAGTTCACTTGGCTCAATGCACAGGTTGTCTGGGGAACTTGCCGGGAGGGAATCTGCCAGACACTGGCTCCATCTAATGACTGCTCCCTCCTACTATTAGGAACCTCGGAGGACAAACCCAGGCTGACCTCGGCAAGGCAGGTCCTGAGGGGTGGCAGACCCTCTGGTTCATCATCCAGGGACAAAGTGTCCAAGTACAGGTTCTCGCTGGCCGAACACCTGTCTGACTCCTTTAGTTTGGAAAGCGGCCGGTCTTCAAATGGGATGGATTCAGTGTCTGCACAGGGCCACATGGACACCGGTCGGGGAGCACGGAGGCCTCCATGGTGTGGAAAAAGGTGGCTGTTGTCTTCCTTTTGACCACAGAGGAAACTGCCGTTTCTCCGGGGACTGTTCTCTTTCTGTAACTGAGTGACAAAAATGGAAATAATCAGCCTCCCTTTCCAGTATGACAATTTTTCTAAGACCGCCCTCTCTCTGCTACTTTGAATTGCTTATGTTTACCTGAAAAGACTTGGCTGGAAGCAGGTGTTCTTAAGGTCATGACCTCAGGTTCAAAATGCCCCACAATATCACAAATACGTTCTAAAGAAAAGCACAATTTACCAGCACTGCAGAATCTTCCTGACGAAAATACTATATTTTGATGGGTTCTGCTGTTGTCTTCTTTGTTTCTGTTGTAGTCATATAATGTTAATCAATTATTGTGCTCATGGGAAATTAGACAAGGTTTTTTCTTTAAGTTTAATGGGAATGAACATTGTGTTCAGTACTTTCTTTTGCAATTCCCTCCAGAACTTTAGTTATGCTCCGTGGGATACTGCCATGGATGGCAGACTCCTGAAGTGAACCCCATTTCCCTAACTGACCCAAGTCAGATAACAAATTCTATATATAACCCAAGCGACTGAACTGGATTGTAGTCATATGGTGCTAAAGACAACTTTAACTTTGCTCGAGAGTTAAAACTTAGCTATAAAGATGCCTAAAGATCTGGCACACTTCTCGGCCTGACTTGGTAAACTGAAGTGGCAAAGACGGGTCACTTGGGGTGTTGATGACAGAGCTGGGGATGCAGTTAGTAGGGTAGCACTTCCCTGGCATGTGCAACCCAGCACCTCAGGAAGGCAGGGGCTGCAGCTGTGGATGTGTGGCTTGCTGCTTTGTAAGCAAAAGTGATTTCCCAACTCTTGCCCAGATCAGTGGAGGTGTGCGGACAGGTGAGCCCACCGAGGGGCCTGGCATGTGCCACTCACTGGGCAGATAAGAGTGGGGGGGCGGTATTTGATCAGAGAACTGTATAAAAATCACGGAGGACCGATGGGATGCCCCAGGGGTGTGGCTCTCGGGCTTCGCCTCTCTTCTTGACCGCCCCTCTCTTTCTAAACACTTATGGAAAGTGCAATCGAGGCTCAAAGCTGGTCTTGCCTAGGACTTGGTAATATGGTAAATGCACACTCTCCTAGATTGACTGTTCTCTTGACTAAGGAAAACTATCAAACTGTCAGAATGATATCTGTACTTCACTGGAAAGTGAGGCCAGCACAAGATTTCCAGTCCTCAAGCGCTGAGATGGTGGAGGAAGTTCTGGATTAAAAAAAAAAAAAAAAACCCTCCAGACTGGTTTTTAAAAGCATCTTTGCCGGCTGCATCTCTGAAACCTAATCTGAGCCTACAGAGTTTGCAGAATCCCGGCAAAAGGGCCCTCAGCTCATCTTTCTAACTTTAAATGTCCCTGAACGCTATTGTTAGTCTATGAGAAAGACAGAGATGGCAGCAGCAAAATCTTAGATGCCAGCCTGCGGCAGGTTCGCTGTTTAATTTAGGGAATAGTCAGATCATGGCAGATTTGAACTCAGCCCCCTCAACTCTCTCCTCCCCTTTCCTAATGACACATTTCTTCACAGTTCCTTTAATGATGCTAAATGCTTTACTTAAAATTATATATATATGTATATATGGAAAGCTTTTTATTATATTTCTCTAATGCATGTCAGTGCAGTGGAGTTTCAACACATGGCCATCTCCCAAGTTATTTTGAGCAAAAGTATTAAAATGCAAGAATCACATTGGAAGCTGTAAATGTGCACCGAGGGTGTGTGTGAAGGGGAGAAGGAACGACTAAAGAGGAGAGCTATGAGCAAACACTCTCCAACTCAGTAAAGTGGGGTTTCAAAAATAAACGCAGGCAGCCAGCAGCAGTTTGCACTGGGGCTGCCGAGTATCAGATTTCCTAAAAAAAAAAAAAAAAAAAAAAAAAAAAAAAAAAAAAAAAAGAGCCGAAGCGGCCAGAGCAGGCAGTGCCCACTTCTGACATGGATGCCTGTGTGCTGCAGTAATCGTCTAATGGGTTCTTAACGGGTAGGGTTTCCTGGGGCCGCACACCTACTGTACTCGGGATCTCGCAGCAGAGCGACATTTAATGCAAATAGAAAACTTAACAGGTTTGTATTTCAAATAATTGAGCACAACAAAATCTCAAGAGTGTCACCTTACAACCAGATGAAAAGAAAAAGGTCTCCTCATGCACAGTTTTTAGAGGATAGGCTGGCTGGCTGCTCAGGTTCTAAAGCGAGCTGGCTTGAGAAAGTTAACCGGAAGGAGAATTGGTGACACGCAACTGTTCCTTTTTCAGCTCCCTAAATACGAGTATAGAGACATTCTGTGACAGGGACCTGGGAGCTGACTGGTCCTATGGAGAGTTCTGGTGTGGCTCCATAAAAGTCAACTAACCCCCAATCAAACGTGGGCCGAGATGAGAGTTCTGCTAGAACAGATGAGAGGCCTCAGCCACATTCCCACAGCCATTCGCCACAAAAACAGCCTCATGCGGTGTAGAAACTATGCAGGAGGTTAGTGACACCAGGCGGGCATGGAACACGTGCTCTGGAAGTGGAAAATGGATTTACTGCTGCTTCTTTCACTGTCCCTATCAGGTTATCACAGCCAAGGTTACGCAGCTTCCCTGGGGGTCAAATATCAAGTGGACACTGTAAGGAATATTCAGTTACATTTCTGGCTCATCTATGGAATGTGCAGCGAGACATCAAACCAGCAAGCAACTGGACGAAACCTGTGCGTGTCTCCACTTGTGCATACATCTCCATGGGCCATCTGGTCAACCTCCTCTTTCAGCTAATGCTTCTGGCTACTGCATTAGTTTTCAAGTTGGGCAGCAAGATTCATAACACCCTCTACAATGCCGACTACTCCAGTGGGAAGGCTAGATTTATTTCCCAAAGCCACGTCTACATGTATGCAGCATCCTTCCATTGTGGACCCATCTGACAAGCAGGGAACCCTGCAGGCACCCAAGGTCTACAGCACAGGTGTGAGGGCCAGGTGAACACCGGAAACACCAGGTTGCTGCAGCATCGAATACTCGGAAATGAAGTTCAGCTCTTGGTCCTTGTTATCATTCCCCCAAACAGTATTAAAGTGAAGTGACAGTTCAGCCCCAGGTCACCATTGCTTCAGAAACTGAGTGTTATCAGATGTGTCTGACCAAGTTTTTCTCGTTCCCTAAAGAAAAACAGAGGCCTCAGATTCCTGCTTAGCTGACAGTGTAAATTTCAAAACTGAAGAACCCTGTGACAGTATCAACAAGCAGCAATGACCAGGCAAAAGGGGATGCCCAAAGGCCCATGACAGGGGACACAGTGGCCTCACAGGGTATGGCAGGGACACTTGAGGTGAGCAATACAAAGCAGTGGCCAAGAAGGATGGACCCTAGTACCAGGTTGCTAAGGCTTCCTTGTTTCCTAGGAGATAAAACACTGCCCCTTGGAGGGAGGAGGAGAGAGCTTCATACAACTTGCAGGGCCCAAGAAGCACAGAAAGTTATAGGATTCACCAAGAGCCTCCCCCACCCCCCAGGTTACATAAGCAGTAATAGTTGTGGAGGAAGGAGCTGCCAGTAGGTTGAGCTGCCTGCAGTTTGTGCACCGGAGATGTGGTTCCCATGAGTCATTGTGCTACGGTGAACTTCTCAGCGGGGTTTCCACCTGGGAGCCACCCAGGCTCCTTAAGTAACCCTTCATGGTGCTGTAAGTAACCCCCCAAAACTCAACGGCTCACTAAACTAGATCTGGGTGGAATCATTCTTGGTCTGAATCAGAGCTCCATCTGAGGCGGAGGCATCTGTTCATATCTCCTAAGAAAAAGCCAAGTTGGGTGTGATAAATTGGTGATCGTTCTATAAGAATACACGCTACTGTTAGCTCTGACGTTTTGCTTCACGGCAGACCCACTCACTCAATGAAGCACAGATGCTAGGCACAATCTGCCAGCTTCTTCACAGTGCTGTATTTCCAGACCCCACAGGAAACGGTGACTCTCCTCTCGGTAGTATTTGGAGAATTTTGAAATGGAGCCATATCAAATATTAGCAAGGTGACTCACTGGTGATCAAACCCAGAAAGGCCTGTGCTCCTTCTTCTGTCCTTTCTCCCTCTCTACAGTTTCTAAGTTAAAGTCTCTGGGTCATTTTTAAATCACTTGGTTCATTTTTGCGTCCCTCCTTATGCAAATTTAAACTTGAATTCACCTTTGCCATTCAACCTTAGCTGGGGAACCTTTATCCTGGGTACCATTTTTAACTGATTGATGTTTCTTGAGGCTTTGGGCATTCACAAGAGTGACCAATTGAAAGAGGCAAGGTATCTGTGGGGTAGGAATATAGCCAGGGAGAAATTCAAAGCCCTCTTCCCAGGGTGATGTGATAACTTAATTTGCACGTCACACCGGGCCTTCTGCGGCTATGTAAACTGCACCAAGCGCACGCAATTCGGAAAATGACTATCCAGGCGGCAGGGAAACAGCTCCCTCTGCTCTCCCCACATCCATCTGAGTTTGTTTATTGGAAGATGATGAGTTACCAGATACCTCCCTTGGTTCTTGTCCTATCTAATCACAGCTCAGCAATACCCACAGCAGACGCAGTAGACAGTCAGCGAACAATGACTTCTGACTCAATTTGCTAATTACTTCACTAATGGTAACGATTCCATTCAGGCTGTAGCCATCACTGTGACTATGCCTCCATGGCAATCCTAAGTGTTAGCTTACTCTGGGGCAGAACTCACTGAAGATAACCCGAAATAACCTCACCTTTCCATTTTAATCTTCAAATCCCTTTTAAAGGTCCCTTCCTAGCCCCTGCACATGTATACAAAGGCAAGTTGCCTACAAACTCTGCAATGAAAAGGCGTGTGTCACGTCAAGGTGTGGTGACTCATTTGCCTTGACTGTCAACTTCACTGGGTTGAGAAAAGTCTAGATAGTAATGCTGACCTGGGTGTGTTCGTAGTGACCTTTCAATTAAGGCCACTACACTCTGGGGGCTGTGACCTAATAAGTGAAACAATTCCTAGACAAATTCAAAGTTGATGGCATTATTGGAAGGTGGTAGAAGATAAAAGAGGGGGGTCTAGTTGGATGAAGGAGGTCCCTGGGCTGTGCCCTTGCAGCCACAGCTTGCCCAGTCCTTCTGTATTATTCTCTGGGCTTCCTGTCCACCAAGAGATGAAGAAGCTCCTCTACCATGCGCTCCAGCCACCATGTACCATCCAAGCCATGGCACGGAGAGGCCACTGACTGCCGAGATGCTAACCACACCTTTTCAGTTGCTCTCGCCACTACACAAAACTAACTAATACACGAAGCACGGGAGTAGACCCCCTGCCACAGGAAACCTAGCATTTCTCACTCTCCCTCTGCATGCCCTCAACAGAAAGCAGGCGACAGCGGCACACCCACCTGCTCCACCCGCCACAGCAGCTCCTCCTTCTGTCGCCCCCACTCCTGCCGCTCGCTGTCCAGACGCTCCAGCAGCTCCACCTTCTCACGGTTCCAGTTCTTCTCTCTGTGATGGATCTGCCAGCGCAGGTCCATGACCAGGCCATGGCTGTCAGCCAGCAGCTTCTGGTGGACCTCTCTCTCCTTCTTCAAGGCCCCTTTGCCCTCGACAGAGGAGTCGAGCTCTCCCAAGCTCTTCTCAGCCTTCTCTTCCAGCTGCCAAAGAAGGACAAGACTCAGGACCATCCTCTTTGAAGTCCATCAGTGGAGGAAAAAAGAAACCTCGGAATACCTACACACGATCCCAGGGTGGGGACTTAAGCCAAGTGGGACTGATCCCGTGGGAAAGCAGAACGAATTTCATATTAAAGCCCAAATGAAGAAAGTCAGGTGTAAAACCTCATAGATGGTTGGGCACAGCTCTTACAGACTCCTCGGCTGCACCTCCTAGTCTAAGCCACTCTGTACAGCTCCTTGTAGGTGACACCGTGCTTAGTCCAGTATCTTTGGTCCCTAGCTGGGATGACAATGGAGCCCAATATTCTTTAATAAGCATTTGTGTCAAATAGACAGGGGTGAAATATAGAAACCAGAGAACTATGGGAGAAGAAACTGGTAGGAACCAGAGAGAAAAGACACGCCACGCAAAGGCAGGCAACAGGTCTTTCTCTTCCTCTGGGTACCCAGGAAGCATCCTGTTTTTCCTACACGTTCTTGGTTCCTAGAACCATGACCCATCACTGCACACGGTGCTCCACCGTTACACAAGACTTCTCACCGGAAACTACAGGAGTCAGATGACAATGGGCACCTGTAAGCAGCTGAGGCAAAAGTTCAAACTGGATAAATGTGCTTGTTGGCTCCTGCGAACTTGACACAAGCCTACACAGATCTGGGAAGAGGGCATCTTAATTAAGAAAAAATGCCTCTCTAAGATTGGCCTGCAGGCAAGCAGGGGTGATATTGTCTTGATTGATAATTGATGGGGGAGGGGTCAGCCCATTGTGGGCGAGGCCATCCTTAGGCTGGGGGTCCTATGGGCTGAGCGAGTCATGAGAAGCAAGCCAGTAAGCAGCTCTCACTCACCCATGTCCTCTGCATCAGCTCTTCCTGCCTCCAGTGTCCACCATGACTCCCTTCATGGTGGACAGTGATGTGGAGTGTAGACTGAAATTAACTCTTTCCTCCCCAAGTTGCTTTTGGCCAGGGTGTTTGATCAGAGAAGTAGAGACCTAACTAAGACACTAAAATTCTAAACTTCAAAAATCAAAGGAGAAACCCTACGCAACACACAATAAAACAAAAACAAGATTTGCCAGCAGACCTCCCTTCCAGACTGACAGGGGAGGTTCTTCAAACAGAAGGAATATGGGACCAACACTTATATCTACCCAAAAAGGCACAATGGAAATAGCAGACATCGGTATAAAACTCATCTCCTCCATTTAAATTGACTTTATTTATTTATTTATCTTTTTGGTTTTTCGAGACAGGGTTTCTCTTGGCTTTGGAGCTGTCCTGGAACCAGCTCTTGTAGACCAGGCTGGTCTCGAACTCCCAGAGATCCGCATGCCTCTGCCTCCCGAGTGCTGGGATTAAAGGCATGCGCCACGACCGCCTGGCCTTAAATTGACTTTAAACATCACCTGTTGTCTGAATCAAAAAAAAAAAAAAAGACAGATGTGACACATTTGTGTTTACAGTGTATCCAGAAGTAAACAGTGATGGATCCCAGTACTCAGATATGCTGGCTAGAGAAGAGGAACCCTCAGCTGAGGAACTGCCTGTCAGGCTGGCCTGTATGGATGTCTGCAGGGGATTTTCTATTCAGAGAGCCTAGCAGCTTATGCCAGGTCGCTAAGGATTTACTCACCAGAATGGAAAGGCTGTGATTTGCTTTGTTTCCCCCCACACCAGAGATGCAGCTGTGGGCCTCACACATGCTAGGCAAGTGCTTTTATTTGGAAATGGGTTCTGGTTTCTTACGAAGGGTGACGTCAGACTTGAGACCCCACCCCTGCCTCCGCTTTCCTACAGATAGTACAAACCAAGCCCAGCTAAGTAAAGACTATCCTGTCTGTTGCTGGATCCTCAGTATTTAGAGCAAGGCTTAGTTTGGAAGAAAAACAAAAATAAAATAGAATTTGGGTGCCACTGAAAATATCTAGGTTTTTGGTTTGTATTTAAGTAGAAGAAGGCCAATCTGGGGTGACAGGTCAGATGGCATTAGCTGCCATTCACTGATCCTATACTGTGACTGTTGAAGAAGCGTCCTGAATGGGTGGGGCGGAACATGAACAGCCTGCGGTACTACCCGGCTTCTGAACTTGAGGTGCTAACTCCTTTCCTGGCAGGAAGGAACTCTTCTCCCGAGGCTTTTTGTAGCCAACACACGGGTGGATCTCAGGCTCCTCTGAGACAAAGATGCGATGTCTGAAAGTGGCCAGCACCAACAAGTGTGTCTTCCTTCTTAACTACACAGATCCCCCACACCAGTGACACTTCTAAGGGATTTCATGGCAGCTCTGGAAGAGCATCCGTGTACACTTCTTCCCCATACATAGCTCAGGGCAGACTAGATTCCAGGATGAGCACAGCATCTGGTAGGAAGCCCTTGCCTGGGCAGCCAGGGATCATAACAGCACCACGGTTCTACCATTTCTCAGGTTTGGCCTGAACGACTCTCTTCCCGAAGGACTGAGCCCTAACCCTGACGTGGGAGGCTGGGGCAGGTGAGCCTGTGAAGTCTGATGGCAGATGGCAGCAGGGGTGTCCAGGTGAGTGGCAGTGGAGGCGGACTTGGGAGGTACCCTGAGTCAGGTGGTGGTCAGGTGATCTTGAAGGGTACCTGGAGGCCATGTGGCAGAACCGAGAACGTGGGGACTCCTAGGAGTGACGGGCCCCTTTTCATCTTTTATCACGATTGAGGTTATTTGCAAGGCATCTCCTTCTTAGGGAACTTTTTCCTCTCATGACTGAACCAATCCACATAAAATCTTAATTACTTTATAGTTTGCTTCACAACAAAGGCTAAAAATTTTATGACACACACACAGACCTTGTTCCTGACTTATGACCTGGAAGCACCTTGGAGCAGCAGACACTGTATGGGAGACACCTGGAGAAGCTGAGTTTGGCAAAGGCTGCTGCTTCCCATGGGCTGGGCCACATCCCCAAGGCTGGGCTGTAAATCCCTGCTGGAAGGGGTCACATGGGCTTGTCCCATGCTAGCACTGGCTCAGTTAGAAGCAAGCTGCCCCTTCTGGGCCTCGGTTTCCTTGGTATAAAAAGGAAATTGGACTCGACAGGGTTTCCAAGCCATGAGCGGAAGCTCTTTTCAGTATTCCAAAAATTCTCAGGGGCGGCAAGTCACTTGTTGTCTTTTTTCAGAGGTGACAAAAACAAACAAACAAACAAACAAACAAAAAAAACAACAGAAACAAAAACCATAGTCTGAAGCCAGTGCGATGGCACACACCTTTTATCTTAGCACTTGGGAGGCAGAGAGGCAGGTGAATCTCTGTGTGGCCAGCCTGGTGGACAGAGCAAATTCCAGCCCAGCCTGGTCTACACAACAAGTTCCAGTCCAGCCCGTGCTACACAGTGAGATCATGTCTCAGAAAGAAAGCGACAACAAAACCCTCTACTCTGGCTTCCTGTGGTCCGGAACAGTCCGCTATACTTGGAGGGACAGCTCCAGGCTGCCAGTCCTTTGATGGGGCTCCTCCATATCCTTGTTTAGCGCCAACAGAACAAATAACCCAACAAAATGCTACTGGTGAAGGCATAGTTTGCCCTTGGGAAGGAGCCTACTGGGAACAGAGGGACTTAAGTGAGGCACTTCACTGGCAGCCTCAAGCCCTGCTCCCCCCTGCCCACACCCCATCACCAGGGTTGCTGGGGAGACCTCACTGTCCTCTTCCCCACCCACCCTGGACAGGGTAGAGTGGCGCAGCGTTGAGGAGGAGGCCCCTAAGGGGCAGGTACCTGCTCCAGGCGGCACTTGAGCCCTGCCCACTCCACGTCCCAGGCGGCCTTGTCGCTGGCATACTGCTGCTGCAGACGTAGCCGGGCATGCTCGTCCTCCCGAAGCTCAGAACGGAAGTCCTCCAGCAGGGCCTTGAGGGCCCTGAACAGCTGCTGGTTTTCCACCACCTGTGGGGACAGAGCCAGGGAATGTCACCCAAGAGCGTCTCTTAGACGGGAAGCAGAGGCTCAGTGAGTGGGGCTGGAGCACCTGCCAGGTTCCCGGCAGAAGGCACCGATGGGTGGGGTCCACCATCACCAAATATGGGCAAGATGATCCCCACCCTGGCCAGAGGCCTCCTGAGGCCAAGGCCCTGAGCAGCTGTGTTCAGAGGCTGTACCTCAGGTTGTGGGCACCTGCAGCACAGGGGCTCTCGAGCCTGAGGGTTAGCTTAGAATTAAGAACTTGCCAAACAAAGGCCATTGTGAGCCCTAAAAGCCAGGCTGTGGGGACACACTGTGGGACTTTAGATATCCAGGCTCTGAGTTGGACTGGCTGCTATGGCACACCATCACTCCAGTGCTGGTGACTGAACTGGAAGCAACCAGGGAGGACCTTGTGGCTGTCAGAGACACAGGGCAGTTGCTCTCTGACTCTTGGTTACTAAGAGGCGATGACAATGACAGGCAAGGGGGGTGGGAGGGAGCTTTTGCTCAACTTACTCTCACAGTGCCTGCTGATTCCAAGACTGGACTGTCATTACCTTATTATTGTTTGTGCTTCACATAAAAGCTATTAGGCTTTCCAGACCCTGCCCAGCCTTTGAAGGCTCACTTCAGAACTCTGGTTTCTGTTGTAGTGTGTGTCGGCGTGGTCGTTATATCACCAAGTGTGGCACACAGAGTGGTAAGCTCTATCACCATTTCTTTCTTTTTTTTTTTTTTTTAATTTTCTGATGGTGAACACCAATAATTTACTTGTGACAAAAGGCACTCAGAGTAGAATTCAGTTAACATCTGCAAACTTTGGCAGATAGAAAACTTTAAGCTCTGCAGTCCCTCCAGCTATGTAACTGTTTCCCTGATCCTCAGGAAGACGGATGCTCATGAACACTCCACGTCAAAAGTACCCTCCGAGGAAGCTAAGTGCGAACACAAGGGCAGCTGACTAGGAAGAGTTGCTGCCAGAGTCCTTTCAGAGACACACACCTTCGGAAGGGTGCAGGGGTGGCACAAGGGCTAAGAGGTCTGGTTGTTCTTCCAGTGGACCAGGGTTTGGTCCCCAGAAACCACGTGGTGGCTCACACCATCTCCAACTTCTGTGCTGGGGGTGCAGCGCCCTCTTCTGGTCTCTGTGAGTACTACATGCACGTGGTGAGGATATACTTGCAGGCAAATTCCCCATCAACATAAACAAGAAAAACACATTTCCACATAGGATTTTCTGAAGAATGATATGTGTCAGGAGAGATTTATTTCCACTTTTAGGTCTTTAAATGAAAATGGCTACCTTTTGAATCCAATGGAATGTAGGTGGAAAATAACCACAATAATTTTGATCCAGTCTTTGGATCAGTCAGCCATTTACATGGAAGAAAACATAGTAAACCATACATGTAATACATGTAATCAACACTTCTCCAAGAATCCCAAATCATGTAAAGGCTCAGCCTGCGATGGCTCAGCCTCTGTCACATGACCACTAAAGACATCACAATCGGCTTCACAGCCTCTTTGCAGATGGAAAATTACTTTCTCTGGAAGCAAAGTGGGCACTTTTTCTTTCGCATTAGCAGATATTGGACCCGACAAAAATTAAGCCTTAATGTTTCTATGCACACTTGGGTTCAACTCATCAACGTGATACCCCATGATCTCAGACCAGTATTCGTTACCATAGAATGAGTTCCAAAGGCAGCCAGTGAGAGCGAGCGAGCCTTGTTATCATAATCATCTAAGAGCCATGTGAGGTGTAGCAGGAAGCTAGGACAGCTTCTGCCATGAACACAAAACTTTCATGTCAACATTTTTGGAGACTCTTATGCCAAGGATAGGCATGGTTCTAAAAGGCTTCTGTGCACACACGTAAATCCAGTAATGACAGCTACTACTACTTATCGTTTCTCTCCTTTTTATTTTATCTATTTTACGTGGATGTGTGTTTAGCCTGCATCTATGTCAGTGTACCACTTGCACAGTTAACAGATGGCTGTGAACCACCACGTGGGCACCGGGAATTGAACCTGGGTCTTCTGGAAGAGTATCCATCTCCCCTACTTGTCCTTTCTTATGGGCCAGGATTGTGCTAACTCACTCATCCACATGACCTTTTATCTCCTACCAAATCTTGATGCATTTTATAGAGGAAGAACTAAAGCTCAGGACAAACATGTATGCCAAGGTCCCACTCTCTAGAATATAACTTGGGTCATCTCCACCATGGATGGACAACCAAAGCCAGAAACATTTAAAATGTCACATTACAAAGTGCTCAGCTGTTTTCGTTTCATTGGGGAAGCCATTCTATCTGAGAAACTGTCAGAAATAATGTAACAGTTGAGCCAACAAAAAAGTCATCTTTCTCCAGTCTTTTTGATGCCCTTTGCTAGGATAGGTTTCAAGACAGAAAGATGATCCAAAACAAGGAAAAAGGCAAAAGTATCAATCCTGGGAGGTACTCTGTGAGTTCAATGCCAGCCAGGGCCACAGAGTGACGACTCTGGCCCATGAAGACTTCTTGATCTGGAAAGTCATTTGCACACAAGAGCTTTTTGAGCCTTTCATGCCAGAGCCTAAATATGCAACTTTTTTTTTTTTTTTTTGGTTTAGACATTTCATTGCAGGTAAGTTAACCCAAACAAAACAAAACAAAACAAAAACACAATTTCCCAAATGTCTTCCAACTGGGTGGTTGATACCAATGGCTTTACTGTTTCCTGTCCCTTCGTTTAGGGACACTCCAGTTCTTCAAAGCTCATCTCTCTTGGAGGGAGCAATTTACAAGTCTATAATTGAGGTCTGTGCTTATAGGTCATACTTTATGACAGATTCAAAGTTGGCTTTCAGTCCTCCAGATTGCCTTGCAAGCCTGTGGCTCATTCAGAGTGGGTGGGGGCTATGGATAAGGTCATATATACCAAGAAAAGCGTGATGCAATCCCTGCTATGTTTTCAGAATTCTGGGATTTCTGAGATGTATGCGTCACATGACATTGTAAGTATGTGGAGAGCAAAGCCACCATGAACTCTGCCTGGCTTATCTCTGAGCCATTCATTACCTCAGGTACAGGGCTTAATCTAAAGGTGAATGGGATATATTGACCTGCCACTGTTGGGTGACCCATGGAAAGCCAGTCACGAAACAGAGGTGATAGCTTCTGTCTCTTATTTACTTCAGCTATTCACAACACAAGGGAGTTTTACAATGCTTGGGGAGCTGCCCTGATTCCCTGACCCATGCATGGCTGGTTTCTATTTGAAAAAGATGAGAGGGGACCTTCTGTGGTGTTCAAAAAGAGCAAATGAATCAATTCCAGGCAGTCGTCCCCCACCCCCCATCTTCTGGCAGCAAATCCCAAACAAGACCTTAAAATGATAGATCTATCAGCAACATTTTCCTAAATAAGTCATTTGTCACTTTGGCCTTCATTGTGACACTGAGAGTAACTTCTTTTCTGAAACCGAGATCTTTGTGCAGAAAAAAAAAAAATGGGCTCCTCCGAAGACTGGCCTTAACAGTGCTACCCATGGTGAGTTTTCAGTAAGAAGTCATTTGCCTTCTGGCTGGGCATGTGCTGGGGGCTCATGGCTAGGAGGGCTCTGTGCCTACCCAAGAGTCCCCCCAGGAATTAAATCAGGTGGGTGAGAGCCTCTAAAGGAGGCCATCTTTAGTAGCTTAGACACAGAGTTACCAGCCCACGAGCTGAGAAACCAGAGCTCGTCAGGGGATCATTGCGACAGAACCAGTGTTCAAAAGAGCACTAAGTATCCCCACCCCAACACATACACCTCCCTTGAGGAAGGAAGGTGTGCTATAAACCACCTGTGGCGAATTCTGGGAGGGAGACTGGGGGCTGAGGGAGGCCTTTTACCAATTACCTTGAGTACCTGTGTGTGCAGTTTCCGGAGACAACAGCAGCAAAACACAACAAACACCAACTGTGTGTGATCCTGTGCTCTGGTCTGGTTTGCTCTGGTCTGGTTTGCTCTGGTCTGGCTTCTAGTTAAGCTACAGAAGTGGCAGGGTCTACAGAATAAACCAGGCCATATTGCACAAAGCCAAAATGTAAACACTATCTAGACTCAAGAGGGGAACTTTTTAAAGATCTAACTGTTCAGGGACTGAACACAGGGCCTTGTGCATTCCAGTTGGCTGTCCTACTACTGAACTAATCTACATCCTCAGTCACTGAGGTCTGTTGTTTGTTTTTTAGACAAATTCAGCTATGTAGTGCAGGTTGGTCTCTAACTTGAAATTCTCCTGCCTCAGCCTCCCGAATAAGTTCTGACATGCTAATCTCATCTATTAGAAGTGCTTTTTCTATAAGTTTCATTGTCCTGGGAGGAAAAAAAGAGAGAAAGGCAGCATGGATAGCTAGAAAACAAGGTTTCAAGTACTAGAGTTGGTCAAAGCCTGTTAGTAGAAGGAAGGCCAGCTTTGGGGGCAGCCTCTTACGGCGTTTAACACCGGGGCTGGACTGGGGACGAAGGACCCTAGCAGCAGAACGAGGTCTTAGAGCTTAATGTGAAACAGAACTTCTCAAGCTCTTACAGTGAATCTTATGTTAGGCTCACCTCATTCATAACATAAACTGTGTCGTCTCTCTTTAATTAATTATTCTGATGCCAGGAAAACAAGCTGCTTTCTCTCTAGTTATCCAAGCCACCCTAGGACCACAGGGTCCCAATACTGACAACATGAATCACCTGTGTTTCAGACCTTGGTTTTAAAGGAACCGGCTTCCCTTTTGGCAGCCATTACAGCCGAACACATGCTTGCCATAAACCTGCCTTGGTCACGTAGAGGTCAGATGCCTGTCTCGTGACAAGGAACCCATCAGAAGTTAGTCACTAGAAAGTCAGATGCCTGTCTCATGACAAGGAGCCAATCGGAAGTTAGCTGGTGGCGCTATGCTTTATGGCTCTGGGTGTGCTTTACGGACAAGCGCACAGCAATGACGTAGAGAGCATAGCAACCGCCCTGGGAGGGCCTATGGGCCATAACAACCAGTTGACCAATCAACACAGGGCAAGCCCTCCAAGCCTGGAGGCACACCAATCGT